AAGAAAAATTAAAAAAAAAGAAGAAAAAAGACCCGTATCTAAAGTTTTCTAATTAATTTTATTTCTTATTTTCTTCCTCCATAAATTTTATTATTTTATTATTTTTTATTATTTCGTCGCTTTCACATTTGACATGTGGACAGACTTTTTCTCAAAAGCAAATCTTTCAGCATAACATTTATTGTAAATTGTTATCGTTATACCATTATTTTATTTCCATATAAACTCTTTCTTTCTTTCTTTTTTCAATAAAAATAAGTGCTATAAAGCCTAAATGTAGTAATGTGACATGAGCATAATTTGTATTTTTAATATTTGTACAACAGAAGGAGTGTAATAAATGCATGCTTAAAAAAACAAAAAAAAAAAAAACTTTAGAAACGCGCATGCATTCAATTGGAAACTCGAAAGTTATTTCAAATTCAAATAATTATTACAATCGACAGAGACAAGCGATCCCTAAACCTTTTAAAAGTGGGAAATCCAACAAATCCTGACCTCTCTGCTGGTGAAGATCATCCTGGATAGTTATTTGTGCTTTCTCTTGTAAATTTTATAAGGCAGCCACTCGTAAGTGTAGAAATGAAACAAAGAATAGATGTAGTACAAATAATGCAAGAGCATTCCTTGAAGATTTGGGATGCTTTCGAACGGAAGAATCCAAGGAATAAGAATGTAAACCACAGCATAAACCCGTAAAGGCCTCCACTGTAATGGTCATTTTTAACCACGCATCATGGGATCCCAGTAATGCTATAGTCAAAGAATAAATGAATGCCGCGAACATCACGAGAATAGCCGAACCAACCATGAAGACTGAAAGTCCAACCGCAATGATTTCATAATTGGGATCACTAAAGTTTGCCATAAGAAGGCTTAGAGAGGCCACCAGAGAGAGAGAGAAAGCCCAAACATTGCAAGATAAATAGCCATACAGAAGCCTCTCATAATCAGGAGGACTGTAAGAGGCAGTACTGATCTTGTGGGAGGCAGTAATATTACTGCTGTGAAATTCATGATGATGTTCACTTGAGTTAAAGTTACCCCTTAATTGTGGTAATTGAATAGCACCCGCAAAGGTCACACCAGCAACAAGCACTGCTACCACAAGAAGATTCCCTATCCTTGTTTTTGTTTCCTCTTTCCTTGGTTGCATGGGTCGAGTACCAGGGAAAAGGTCACCGAAGGATTTCCTAGGGCAAGCACAGGAGTGTAGGATCGATAATGTCATCATCTGCACATCAAGGGAAAAAGACTTCTATTATTGGCATTTTCCCTATTGCCTTTGAAGATCATTAAAAAGCGTTGGCATCCTTTGAGATTCCTTTTTCGTAACATGATAGCAAGATTCTGGAATGGTTTCGGAATTTTTAATATTATAGTATAGATGTTAAACTAATCGGCGTAGAACTAGATGTTCAAAAACTTGCATCTGGTTAATCAACACCGCTTCTAGCAAAGGTAGTGTCTTTGCATTTTAAACCAAGACCCTCAAGAAGCCATCCTTTTTCTTTCTTAAATTCTATCTTGTCTTAAGCTCTTCTGGAAACCAAAAAACCACAACTAAAATGATAAAGGATAAAAAGAACAACAGAAGAAAGAAGAAAAGAAGTAATAGTACCGCTCCATAAAAATCTTGCCGTTCGTAATCTTTTAGTGATGCCTTTTTCGGGTCTTGCTTGTTTTGATCAGCTGGTTTGTCCTGTCTCAAGAAAAACGTTAACATGTGTTATTTTTTTTATTTATATATTATGGCTAGACAATAATATAAGCCACTCAAACTTGTGAACAGCTAAAATATCCTTAGAGCTACATTAAAAATAATAAAGCTGACGAACTTTTTTAGGTTCGCCAGTACTTTTCTTATGTCAAAACCTGTAGGCTTTCCTGCAGTAGAACATTTTAATACGATAATCTTGCTTATCCGGTTGACCCACCCCTCAACACCTTGCTTGTGTTGTAGTATCTGACTTATATTGAGAGAAGCATGCAGATTTTAGAGTGGAGCGGAGGGAAGCCTACTGCCTGCCGATTGGATAGTGAAATATAACTCTTGTATGGAACAACATGGGTTTACTATAAATACATGTTATATAATACTAATTTAATAAATAATGAAATATAATTCCTCGTTTTTGTTAATGCAGACAAATCACCGAAGCACGTTAAAGCTGTGTGTTTTTCTTGTTTTTTCTTTTTTGCAATATTCATATATTTTGATTCCCATAACATCATAACATATTCCATAATTTTCAAATCTTTTCATATCTTTTCTGTATATGGAATGTATATCTTTAATCAAAATATTTAAAATGCTAGCAGAGCAAGTATCAACATATCTCTTATACCTCGGTCCCTTCCACCCTGTTATTTGAATCAAAGTGCTGTCGCTCCTCAGCAAACTGGAAACAAAGAGGAAGCATAGGTACCATACTATTAACGCAATTATAACACTAAAAATTGTACTCTTGTAGCTTTTCATACCGTTTCATCCGTTCCTTCATATCGCTGTACCACTATTGTGGATTGTTTTCTACCAAGTTCATACGGTGTCAAACCGTTATTGTTAACAGCATGACGATAAACGCGTTTGTCACGCACAAGAACAAATACAGGCGCGGACTGGCCGAGATTTGTTGCCAAATGCAAAGGTGTGTTTCCATCCTCATCCATCGCATTTAGCAGTGTTTCTACGATCTTCTGATCCTGTTCGAGTATGTACATAATCAAAGAGCCATGTCCATTTTGGGCCGCTACATGAAGAATGTTCTGCTTTTTTTTTATTTATGAATTCGTTTGGATAGGGAATAACTTTCAGGAATTCCTTTAACAAAGCAACCGAGCCTTCCTTGCATGCAAGATGAATAGGATAGTTGCCCTCTTGGTCAGTTTCATCGGCACCGGCACGATACTTTTCTAATAGGAATCGAACTCCTTGCACATAGCCTGTAGATGATGCATAATGGAGTGGATTTCCAAACTCTTTGTCATGGAGACGTAATAACTCTGGCTTTGCTTCTTCGATTTTCTGCAATATACCTGAAAATAAGAATAAATTGTTTCGAATGAATATAAAGATGAGAGGTTTGCAAGATTGGTTTGTATGTATATCATTTTTTTGTATGTATTTCATTTTTCTGATGAGAGGAGACATTGTGATCACCTATGATGCGGTTATCGACAGCAGCGTGAACAGGGGACTTTCCTTGTGGTAGCATGCCAAGTGAATCTCCATCTTCTCTTTCTGTAGGGATCGGAGCTTCCGTATTCAAGAGATCATCAAGAATCCCGCTTCTGTCGCGATTCTCAACAGCCAGATATAAAGGAGACCTGCCAGTCTTGTTGTTGTAATAGGCCACTTCCGGATCTCTGGAAATGAGGAATTTGGCAACTTCTTTGTTACCATGGATCACTGCAACATGCAAAGGAGTGTTTCCTTCTCTATTTGTCTTCCTCAGCAAGAAAGCATTCGAATTGACAAGGTCTCGAATTGTATGACTAACACTTCCCTCTCTGGCCTCTCTGGCCTCTCTGGCAGCAACATGAAGGATTGTGTCTTGCTGGTCGTTTGAGCTGGTGATTAGAGAAGGGATCTCTTTAGTCAGATAAGCCAGGTAAGCAGTAATATTATTACTTTTATACCTTATGGCTACATGAAGTAGCGAATTCCCACAGGGAGTCACTAGCTTCTCCGATAAATGATGCTGGATACGGCTTTTAAATTCCTCAATATTGTCCTGCTTCACGTACTCATATAACTTACTATCTATCTTTGTTTTTTCCGTTGGATCTCTCGGAATCGTGTTTTCAACTATGGTTATTTCTACGCAAGGCATAGCGAAAGAAAATATTATTTGACCTGAATCAGCTATACATATCAGACAGCAGGACTTCTAATTTAAATAGACCAGACTGCATGTCAATGGAATCTGAAATAATG